TATCCGGTTTTATTCTGTCAGAATGACATTCTTTTTATAATGATATTCTATGAAAATACAAACCATAAACTAATAAAGAGTCTTACTTCTCGCAGAATAAACAAATTTTTAGATACAAGTTAAATTTTTTCTATCACATCCTTGAAAAAATAAAAAACTTTATATTTTATTCTATAATAATGAAACACTCCCTAATAACAAACAAATATATTATGTAGATTATTCTATTGGAATATACTATTACATATACTCTTATCATTCTATTACAGATTAATCTAACAGAATATGACATTGAGTAGTGCACTTTTGTGGAAGATCGGTAACCATTGAGGATTGTTCATGTCTATCCCACACACATTCATCCAACCTTCGGGCCATTGATCATCATGTACTTCATTCATTCTATGAGAATAACTGTCATGAAATTGAATTATGTAAGAATAAAACTATGTGAGAATGCTTTTATACAACAAAAATGAAACAAATTTTAGTAATTCTAAGAGAACTCATACTACATGTTAAAATCAAGTAACACAAATAACGAACTCATAAATTATTTTTGTGTTCTTCAAGAATTTGAACATCAAGTTTTCTTTCAGGCATTTCTACAAACACCTGGTGTGAAATATTCTCATAGAATTATTTTTGTGAAATTCAAGAATATACTTATAATTTGCAAGGTTCTTCCAAATTCCAAACAAAGACTTTTCGCAATTCAATTAGTAGAGTCTTCGAGTTGCTCATCTGTATAATCATCCAACGATTCATAATCAAAATTAGGGTTTAAACTAGGGGTCTGTGCCGATTCGTTAAACCCAAATCGTAAACCCATCGGATTAAAAGAAGAATCGGGATCACTACCTGATGGTGTAACCGATGCATCGGGATTAGGTTCCGGAGGCGGAGACATCCGATTGGGGTGAAGACGTTGTCCTTTAATACCACTACCCATTTTCACGCAACCATCGTCAATCGACCCACGTTTGGTCCGAATCGCCGTCTGGAATCGTCGCAGACCTGCTCGGTTCTTCCTTTTCACGCAGCCATCTCCTTGTGCTTGCATGCTTGAAAACAAACTTACGGGAGATTTAAGGAAGATATCAAGATATGGATAGAGAAGGTTACCGATGCGCATCATGGAAGAGGAATCAGAGACAACGATGACATCTTTCACCCGCTGATGCTTTGATTTTCCTTTCTTAAACCTCAAAATCTGAAATCAGTTTCCAATCAATTAAATTCTGAAGTCAATGGTTACCATAATTATAAGATATTATTTGTGGAAGTTATTTCTCAAATTACCTAGTTACCCTTATTGATTTATTTAATTATTGTTTTTTCTATTAAATTTTGATTGACCCATAATCATGCATACAATAACACAATACTTACTTAAAATACCTGAACCTATCTCTCTCTCTCTCTCTCTCTATATATATATATATATATATATATGTTTTTTTATTGACCACTTAATATATATTAGGTGGTCAATATATGAATATGCTTTGTACACCTAATCCTCTTCTCTTTAATTATATTCTACTTTTTTTTTCTTTAACTATTTAGTTATTTCCATCATAGTTTGTCATTTATGAAACATTTATATACTAATCTTTAATGATGATATTTATCTAAAATATTTCATATTGAAATATGATGTGTTTAATAAACGATAATTAAATGAGTATATTTTATATAACATTTTAGATCGATGAGATCAATAAGTTAAATTCATAAAAAATTAAAAGAGTTTTACTATTGGAGATGTCATCTAATTAGAGGCCAAAATTAATGACATAATGAGGTGTAAAAAATATTAAGTCATAGTATAAGTTTACAATTGTAGATGCTCTAACACTCATGGCCAATCTTGAAAACCAAAACCAATTTTGTCCCTAAATTGTAACCCACAATTGAAAATTTACCAACTTGAAATCAAAGAAGAAAGAAAGAGACAACGAGATGTAGGTTTTGGTGGCCGAAGGCCTATGAGTCAGAGTTGTAAGAGGCACGAGAGACAAAGATCACCGACGAGTTACAGGCGGAGAGAAAGACGAATTTGCTTCACGCTGGTGATGGTTAATGATGAGTATGGGGACGCCGTAGGCATTGGAGCCGATGGATGCCAACGATGGAAATGTTGAAAGCGGGAGAGAAAAAATATGGCGATGTGGTTTGCTCCAATTTGATGACTTTCGACGACTCGAATAATAGATTTTAGGGCGTCTTTAAGCTATTTCAAAAATGGTCACTACTTTATTAGAAAATGTCGATAAAATGGTAAAAAATAAAAATGAGGAGTATAAAAGTCATCTACATGCCTTTAATGGACCAATACAGATAATAATTGCCTCAGGTGCAACAACAACAATAGACTAGCCAAAAATCTAATAGTAAGGATTTAGCCAGGTAAACCATAAGGACCACGTATGTAATTTACTCTATTATATACTCATATGACTCATTTTAAAGCACTCAATGTAATGTAATATTGTGATAATTTATATTTTAGAATTTAAATTTTGATATTTATATTAATTATCCAACAATTTATATACATTAAAAGCTCCTAGCGATAAGACAAGTACGTTGCTGCACAAAATCACTAAAATGGTACATAGTTTGGAGGTCTGTTGGAACACTTTTTAACTGTTAAATGCTGTTTTGGAGAGTGTTGGACATGGTTTAAATGAGCACAAATTCATAACTAAATAGGGTACGTAGAAACTGAAACATTGAAAATTGAAAAGAGAAGGATAAAAGGTGAAACATAAACATAGAATAAAGGAGGTACATTGAAAATTATAGTTTTTTAGATTTAAGAAGCGTGTACATGGACCATGTACACGTTAAAAAAGTTTTTTTTTTTTTTAATCGTTGTGGCTATTTTTTTTTTACTCACAGTTTCACAAAAACTTTGGACCTTAGCAGATGCTCTTAGGATAAACTTTATAGGAGGGAATTTTGTTTGCGTTTTTCCTCAAATAGTGTCTTTTGAGATCTACATATTAGGATTTAGGAATCTTTAGATTACTCTTTTCACAACCATCTTTAGGCAACCTACACCCCACATCAAGTTAACTCACCTCATTCGCCTCACCAATATTATACATTTTCTCACCATGAACACACCTCCAACACTTATTTCTGATTTCATCTCATGAAATTTTAAAGAAAGGAATTACTTACTACAAAGGCCACCCATTTCATGCTAAAAAGCAACGTTTTTTAAACCCCTTTTATCAAAGCAACCTCATGGCCCATATATGGTGCACCACATGACCCCATTTTTGAACAAAACACAACCCTTATGCGTTTAATTAATATGCTTACAATATCAAGCTTCAAATTCGCCATTCATGTCATCTTTCTCGTCTCCTTTTTCCTGATCTCCTGTTCTTCTGCTGCTCTCTTCACCATAACCAACAACTGTCCTTTTACAATATGGCCAGCCACACTTTCTGGTGCAGGCACTACTCCACTTCCAACAACAGGGTTCCAGTTGAATTCAGGCCAAAGTGCACAAATCCCCACGACCCCATCATGGTCTGGTAGGGTATGGGCAAGAACAGGTTGCACGTTTGATGCATCTGGTGTAGGTAAATGTGAAACCGCAGATTGTGGAGGGAAGATGGAGTGTGGTGGGATGGGTGCCACCCCTCCTGCCTCCCTTTTTGAGATAACCATAGGAGGCTACAACAATTTGGATTATTATGACGTTAGTTTTGTGGATGGATACAATCTTCCCATCATTGCTGTCCCAAGGTCCACTTCTGGTGGTTGTAATGCCACGGGCTGTGCATCCGATATTAACATAGGTGAGTATTGAATCTTGATTCTCATGTCAAATCTTTATCTATCTTCCAACTTCATGTTTGTATTTCAATCTGTTTAGATAATAGAAACCATGTACAGGGTGCCCAAAAGAGCTTCAGGTGGTGGGTGGGGATGGTGGAGGAGTAGGTGGGGTGATCGCGTGCAACAGTGCTTGTGGTGCATTTGGAATGGACCAATACTGTTGCAGCGGGCAATATGCGAATCCAAATACGTGTCGACCATCCTACTACTCGAGCATCTTTAAGAGAGCGTGTCCTCGAGCTTATAGCTACGCGTTTGATGATGGCACAAGCACGTTTACTTGCAACGCCTATGAATATGCCATCATTTTTTGCCCCAATAATGGGTAACCTTTTCATTCTAGCTATCAAAAAATCAAATAGATCAACAAAGTTTTAATTTAGCAAGCTAGGTGCCAATCGTGGCCATTATATCATGAGTCCCGATGTTTTTTTGATTTGCAATGCAGGATGGACCAAATAGCTGGTCCCGGAATAGGTACTGGTATCAGTACAGGGACTGGAATTGAAACCGGAACTGAGGTTGGAACATTGAGCGCTCCACATACGAAAAATGACAAGATAAGAGGATCTATACGGACAAACACATCATCAAACGCCATCTCACAAGTTTCTATATCGATATGTCTTATCATAGTTTCATTTGCATCATTGTACATTGTATAAGAGATCATTGTACATGTATATTTACATAAAATTAGATAAAATAATTGCTTGTCTTGAATAGCATCCATGTATACCATTTTTGGTGTTCCTTAGTTTTTGTCAAAAGATACAAAATAATGAAACAAGGTAGAAAATCATAAGAAACTCATCTATGCCTAAAATTAACAAATGCCTTACGGAATTAGAAAGATAGAACATGAGTGTTAGCTAAGTACAAAATCAATGGCTAGATATGGAAAATTAGAGAGTACAAAACCCGTCGTCTACTGTTACTTTGCTATTCCATCCAACCCAATCCAGAAACCAAAACCAACCGTCTTCTCCCTTAGCAACATAAAGTTTCCGGCTTTCGTCTTCTTCAATGGGGGAAGGAAAACAAGGCGAGCTAGCTGTTCATACGCCAAAAGATTTGGCTCACAATCCAATCACACAGTTGCAAACCAAGTACAAAGATTTAGAGAATGGCTTCAAGTCGTGGCTTGCCAAACAGTCTTTACCTGTTGAGGCCGCCGTCGTGACCCTCACAAGCGCAGCCCAGGGCGCCGCCATGGGTGGTTTCATGGGGACACTCACCAACGACGTCTCCTCCGCTTTTCCCCCCACACCACCTCCCGGCGCCTCTATTAATTCACAGACCATGGCCTCCTTCCAGCAAGCCCAGGTCACTGTTTTTTCTTCAAGTTTTTTTTTACCATCATCATTTCCGAGGGTTTTGGATTTTAGGAATTTGATGAATTGTTTCAAGACGTAATTTTTCGGTTCCGTGATTATTGATAACATCTTTTATACACAATGTTGATATGTTTGTGGATTGATACTGTGATTATGAACCGATGTTGTAGCAATTAGGTCTTTTGTTGAAAGAACTAACCCTCAATTAAACTCTGTAAGATAATTAGGTCTAAAGTCATGCAATTGGATTTTGGAAGTGTGACTCTGTTGAGAATTTGTACCAATATATCTTCTTAAACTTAAACTGATTGTTGTATTGCAGGCTCTTGCAGGAGGACCCTTAATACAGGCCCGCAATTTTGCTGTTATGACAGGTGTTAATGCAGGCATATCTTGTGTCATGAAAAGATTAAGAGGCAAAGATGATGTCCAAACAAGGTAATTCTTCATTTTATCAGTATTCATTTATTGTTTTTAGTAGACACATGAAATGGACAGGTTGTTTTCTGTATGATTGTAGTATGGTAGCAGCTTTTGGTTCTGGAGCCATGTTTTCTTTAGTTAGTGGCTTGGGGAGTCCTACTCAGCCTGCAAATATAATCACATCTGGTGTCTTCTTTGCTCTTGTTCAGGGTGGAATCTTTAAGGTGATCATTTTGCTTCCTTTTCCAATTTTTTGAAGACATATGTATATATATAACTTCACTCATTAACTGTTGTACAGATAGGGGAAAAATTCTCAAAGCCATCAGTTGAAGATGTGTTGTATAGTGAAACTAGATCCATGCTGTCTAATCTTGGTCTTCAAAATTATGAGAAGAACTTCAAAAAGGGCTTGTTAACTGACACCACTTTGCCATTGCTTACTGATAGGTAAGTTTTAAATCTTTAAAATCTTGAAAATCTTACATTTTTTATTAATATTATCCTAACTTATGATACTACAGTGCTTTGAGAGATGTGAACATCCCTCCTGGACCACGACTTGTCATTCTTGATCATGTCCAAAGGTATGAAAATTGAAAAAGAATTCCTTTTTTTTATATTAATTCTTATAGGATTTGATTTGAATGAATTAGTTTGAGATTGGATTGGGTTGTTCCATTTTGATAGGAACAAGGAAGTGAAGAAACAAGGTAGGTGGTAGGAATGATTCAAAACTAGGATATGCTTATCAGCTTATGTACAAGAAGATGAAAAGAGATACCAAATTTTATCTTTATGTAATAAGATATGGTTTCATTGAAGATATGCATGGGAATATTCTTCTTGTTTGAGACATTTATAAGATGTTAAAACTTGTTCGTTATCTCTCTAAGGTGCTAATTTTTCATGCTCTGAATCCTGTAAAATCTAGAATAAACTCCTTCGGATGCTGCAACAAGGGCTGAATGTGTTCCCATTTCCACCACTTTACCTTTTTCCATCACAATTATGGAATCCGAGTGTACAACAGTCGAAAGCCTGTGTGCAACTGTAACCTGAGTGGAATGTAATCCGCCATTCCCTTTCCGGTTGATTGATTCCATAGCATTCACCACAGCCCTTTCAGATTCTGCATCAAGGGCACTTGTTGCTTCATCAAGAAGCATGATTGCAGGCTTCTTCAACAGTGTTCTTGCAATTGCAATTCGTTGCTTTTGTCCTCCTGACAGCTGGCACCCCTTTTCCCCAACCACAGTATCATACCCATCTGGCAAATTGCTTACAAATTCATGAATATTCGCGTCTTTTGACACCTCTATGATTTCACTTTCTGAAGCTTCTTCTGTTCCATAACAGATGTTGTCCCTTATTGAGCAACTAAAAAGCAAAGGCTCCTGTTGTACTAACCCTATTTGTTTCCTTAGGTTTCTGAGATTGTATGTCGTTATATCTCTTCCATCAATCAATATCAATCCTTGTAGTGGACAATAGAATCGTAACAAAAGGGCTAAAACAGACGACTTTCCTGCTCCACTGGGTCCCACTAACGCCACCTTTGATCCAGCTTCAATTCGTAAAGTGAAATTATCGAGTATCTTGACTTCTGGTCTTAATGGGTAGCTAAAATGGATGTTTTGAAACTCTATTTCTCCTATGATCTTTCTAGAAGGTGGGTTCTCCGTTTCATCTGGTTCAATCTCTGTTCTTCGATCTAGGGCTTGAAAAACTGGAGTTAATACATTTACAGCTGAGATTACAGTGGGGATTAAAGTCCATAGCTCTGTGATTGAAGGCACAGTAAGTGAAAAAATCTGGTATGACCTAATCCCATCTTCAAAGCTAGCTTGCTTTTTTTCAACTAAAACAGTCGAATACCATAAAGCAACAGCATGTGCGATGTTCCATAAACAAAGGGACACACCTTGAATGAATCCGTACCAGAGACTTTGCTTTCTGCTCCTTTTCAATGGTGCATCTAGCGACACTTTAGCTTTTTCCAGTATACGTTCTTCATGACAGAAAGAAGCGACAGTTCTGATGTTTGTTGCAGATTCAGAAGCAAGGGAGACAAGCTCTGAATGTGCTGCAGCTGTGTCTCCTGAAAACCCTTTTGCAGATTTAGCTTGAATTAGACCACCTATGAAGTGACATGGCATCACAGCCCAAGCTACTAAACCCATTCTCCAGTTAACAATCATGCTAACTATGGTAGCTATCAAGATCGAAGAAATACATTGCACAATTACAGCCATTCGATCAGATATTATAGTCTTGATTGTTGATGTTTCATTGATGATTCGTGAGGTAAGTGAACCAACACTGTTTTCAGACTTGTCATACCATGCTAATTCATTACGAAGCACCACTGTAAGGTTAAGAATCATGAATTCATAATTTCATATCAGTAAAAATATGTAGAACATAGTCGTGTGAAATTACTGAAATATGAAAGTACCCGAGTATAAAGCTTTTCGGAGGTTTGTCATTGCTTTTTCTCCAATTACTCCATAATAGTAATGTTGTAAAGTATGGCTGAAAAGCGAAAGCAAACCGATTGCAGAAAAGAGTAATGAATACCATCCGACTTTCTCTTTAGCTCCATGTTTATAATAAGCAACTCCGATTGTTATAATAAAGAAGCCAAAAACAGGCTTTGAGATGCCAGAAAAAGCAGCAGCACAAGAGCCAACAGCAATCTTGACAAATTCTTGGTTGTTTAAGCCAAACCAGATTCTGAAAAATATATCTCTTTCCCTTTTTTCAACTCTTTCCACATTCCCATCTTCTTGTTCTTTGGGTGTATCTTTTAGGGTTTTGTTAGTTTCTATAGGTGTATCAAGTTGCACGAGTTCTTCAGAAACCTGTTGATCTTTCTTTTCTGTTTCCTTAGTGGAAGATACGTCATCTTCTGTGTTGATGTTCTGCATGCTAAATAAGTTGCTGTAAAACTCGCTGGTTTGTAGCAAGTTACTGTGTGTTCCTGTCTCTGTAACTTGTCCATTTTGAACAACTACAATCATATCCGCATTAACAATGGTGGACATCCTGTGTGCAATTAAGATGACTGTTCTTCCTCTCATTGCACTCTCGAGTGCATCTTGAACCAGCTTTTCAGACTCTGAATCAAGTGCACTTGTTGCTTCATCAAGCAAAAGAATCGGAGGGTTTTTCAATATAGCTCTTGCAATTGCAATTCTCTGTTTCTGTCCCCCGGATAACTGTACACCCCTTTGTCCTACCTTAATACCATCAAAAAAGTTTATTTAGATCACAAGGTTTATAGTGATTCATGAGGGGAGTTGATCACAAAATAGACCAACCATAGGAAGACTATGTTGCATTAAAACTTCAATGTTTATCACAAAATGACCATTTATTTTGTGGAATTGCTGTTTCTAACATCGTATTTCACGAATTATTATTTTTTCGTGAAAATGATTTTTTGTGAAAAAATAGTATCATTGGTGTGAAATACAAAATAACGAAATTTGCTATCATTAGTATTTCTATGAAATGTAAACGAAATTAGGTGTAGTAAATTTGTTAAGGGGTTTGGCTTAGCTAAATTCTGCAAAAATAGTCTTCTATTGAAGTCGAACATGGAACCTCATGAGATCAAGAAATAATATCAATTGGGGTCCATATTAACAATTTAACATATTAAGATATTATAAACCCTAAACCTGTTGGGTTTATAGCAAACAAGTAAGGAAGCCCAAAGCGTGAATTTATGACAATCCAACTCACCTTGGAATACATTTGGCTAATTTGCTTTAGTAGATTATTGTTTTGTTTTGTTTTGATAGAATATTATGTTATGGTCTAATATTAGTGGAGGGACAAAGTTAGTGGGTACAGACTTGTTATGCTGACATTCCTTTTTGTCCCATCCTTTAGTAGTAGTATTAATAGTCTCCAGATAAAAACTATTTTGTATTGACCTTTGTCATTGAAGAGACCCCTTCATCTTGAAAGATTGGGAACCCTTATATCGGTAAACATCTGAGTCGTGAATCTTTTGTGAATTTCAGTTTGTATTCCAGAATATCCATGGGATTATCAATTAGTATCATAGCAGTTGATGATGGAGGCGAAATGACAACAAAAGGCATGATAATATGAAACAAGTGTTTGGGAAAATGTAGGAACCACTTCACAATAGTTTTGTGTCCCTTGGAAGAATAGATCAGATGATGGATAGGTTCTTGCAAGGCAAGAGGAGTCGTTGGAAAAGGTGAAGATCTTGGAGAAGAAAGAGCTTCTCACCAAAAGTAGTAAGGAGGACCATAACTGGAAAAGGTGAAGATCTTGGAGAAGAAAGAGCTTCTCACCAAAAGTAGTAAGGAGAACCATAATACTAGGAGAAGGAAACCCAGTGATGAAAGAAGGCTTAGATAAGTATGGTAGGAACTGATACAGTTGATGCTCGTATTAGCAACACATCAACAATGGTTGGTGTTGGAATGTCAATGGAAGATATTATTATGGGTATATAGGCCCTTGCTAGAGAATTGCTATGTCATGGAAGAAGAGTTCAGTTGGAAGTTAATGACCTACCTTTGGTTAATGAAGTAACTTATCCTTCAATTAGTGAAGTAACTTATCATGAGTTTTCAGAGATGATATTAAGGGTGAAGGAAGAAAATGGGCAACATAGTGTTAGGAAGTAAAGCGCATAACTAGCAAAACCAAAAGCACACAAGACGTAGTATTTACGTGGTTCGGTCAAGGTGACCTATGTCCATAGGCAGGAGGGGAATATTCTTTATTTCAGAGCTCTCAAACAGAGGTTACAAGTACAGTGTTCACAAAGATTCGCCTAACACACTAGAATTCAAGATACAAAATGACTTATCATGCATCCCTATTTATACTTGAGGGATCAGACCTAAAACCCTAATGGGACAAGCCCATTGGCCCATAGACCCATGAAAGGTGTCAACCAATCACAATCTGCCATGCAACATCTTCTTGAACATTCATTCTTACATAAGAATCAACAGTACACATGATTGAGCATCATGATCCATAGTGGCATATCATGATGCAAGAGTGGCACATCAAGATCACCATGACATATTAACCATTATGGTGGCGCATCAAACAATAATCCTTGAGCATCTTCAACTTCTGAGCTTCCTTGAACAATATTGAGCATCATAGGGGACTTCATAGCATACGACTCATCAAGGAACATAAGTGGCGCATCCTTGCAACAAGATGACACATCAACATGAGAATGACGCTTCTTGTGTAAGGAATGACACTTCTTCTCAATGGATGACACTTCCTCCTTATGAGTGGCGCTTCTAGAACCATATTGGCGCTTCTTCCTCTAGAATGACGCTTCTACCTCTAGAATGGCGCTTCTTCCTTCAACCATAGTGACGCTTCTACCTTCAAAGTGACGCTTCTTCCTCCAGAATGCCATATCTAGACAATGAGTGGCGCTTCCACATTATGGATGGCGCTTCTGCATCCATAATGACGCTTCTAGAATGGCGCTTCAAGCATAGATGACACATCCATGCACCAAGATGCTCCATTCCACTTCCAGGTGCTCCATACCCCCTTTTAGAAGATTCGTTCGTTTGTCACTTTATCCGTTCTTTTGTCAGGATATCCATTCCCTTCTCAGATGATCCGTTCCTTTGCACATGCTCCATGAACCCCAAGTGTTCCATTGAGTTCCAAGTGCTTTATTGAACTCAAATGCTCCATACGAATGCTCTAAATGCTCGAGTCACGTTTAACACATATAAATGTTGATACTTAGAAATTTTTAATCGAGAATTATGGTAAAGAATTGTTGAGTATTGATCTTACCAGTGTACCCGTAGAGCTTGCATACTTGGTAATTGTGAAAGGAATTTAGTAGAATCATGACAAATTGTTATGATCGAATTAAATGCTAGCACCTTAATATCAGAATGGGAAGCATTAGAAGGTCTCATACAATTGGGAGTTCATTAGCAAGCGGAAACCATTCTGGTTAGACAAACCAAAAGAAATCACCAAGGAAGCCATTGATGTTGCATTTCTATTGCATTTGTATGGTTAGTTGCTCTTGGTTTACCATTCCTCTTTGCCACTATACTTGAAATGGAGTACAATTGTGACATTATCGGAAAAGAAGTTATTGGGTACAAGTTGAAGGAGTTTTGTGGCCATTTTAACTTGAATACTTCAAATATGTGGGGAATAGTGAAGGCGATTGTGGAATTGTGTATGAAAGTAAATGATGGAAAGTTTGTTTGGCTGAAATATCCACCGAAGCCTCAAGTGAGGATATCTCTTATCCGTACGGAGGCTTTTGAGAATGAATATAGTTCATAGGGAGGAACATGTTCAATCTTTTGATGAGAATGGTGATGCTCTTAATAGAAATGGAGATGTGATAAATGCAGTCGACCAAGTGGATTTAGTTATTGCATTATTGCATATCATACTAGGGTTAGCCCAACGTGTTTCTTTTGATGCCGTCCGCCATTTCTTTTCACTTGAGGGCAAAGTGAAAATTTGTGCCGTCGGTATTAATAAGCTCCAAACTTCTTGGGTCTATAGCAAACAAGCAAGAAAGCCCAAGACTTGAATTATGGTAGGCCCAACTCACCTTGGACTAGCTTATTTGCTTTAGTAGAGTTATTTTATTGTTTTGTTTTAATAGAATATTATATTATGGTTTAAGCATTTTGGTCTAATATTAGTATAGTTAGTGGGGACAAAACGTTAACATGTTATGTTGACATTTCGTTTTGTCCTATCCTTTAGTAGCAGTATTAATAGCCCCTAGTAGTTCCTAAAATTTTAAAAAGACAACTAAGAATTATTTTGTCTAAGACCTTTGTCATTGGAGAGTCGCAAAGATTAGGAACCCTTATTATCATTTATATTACTAAACATTCGAGTCATAAAATCTTTTGTGAATTTCAATTTGTATTCTAGAATATGCATGGCCTTATCACAAATTTTTGACTAATTAACAAACTATTAATAAATCCCTGCAAAAAACCCACTAAATACTAAAAATTAACATGGAGAGGTTTTGTTCTAAAACTTTCAAAAATGAGTCAATAAAGTATTCCATAAATGAATTACAGTATTGATAGAAACTTCTTAAATTTATAGCTAATGGTCAGACTCAAGTTGGGTCTATGCATCCCTTTTGTTTCCATATACATCCACCAGTGCTCATGACTCATTACTCACGAGATCCTAAAACCTTAACCAATTTCACGGAAATTTATTTTTATTTCGCTAGAAAGTACCACAACAAAACATAAGATATTTTATTTTTGCGAAAAAAAAAAATCTAATTAGGGGAAAATGGTGGTGGGACTACTAAAAAACAATTTGGTGTGATCATTTTGTAATAAATGTTAAAATATAGCATTTTATGATATCACCTTCTTTTTTTGTTTGTCAATTTTGTGATTAACTCTTTATGAGAAACTAGTTAATAAGATAATGCAACTTACATCTGTTAAATACTGATTCGGTAATTGGGATATGAAAGTGTGTGCATTTGCCATTGTTGCTGCTCTCTGGATCTGTTCATCATCGGCATATTTGTTTCCTACCTTCATGTTATCCTTGATTGTGCCAGCAAACAGTGCTGGCTCTTGCGAAACAGCTCCTATATTTTTTCGTAGGAACTTTACATCAAGATTCTTGACATTATGATTGTCAACGAAGACCTCACCTAGTCCACGGGAATCCGATCAGAAAGTCAAACTACATTAATGCTATTAAGATTATCGCAGCTTGAATTAAAGAATGCAAACCTTTTTCAGGATCATAGAATCTTGGAACCAGAGAGATGATGGTGCTTTTACCACAACCACTACTACCCACTAAAGCCACAACCTTTCCTGCGGGGATTAATAAGGAGAATCCCTGTAGAATCATTTTTTCATGGCGTGATGGGTAAGCAAAATGAACATCACATATCTCGATGTTTCCATTAATCTTTTCAAGATTAATCTCCCCTTTTGAATCATAACTTATCAAAGATTTTCTGTCTATCACGTCAAACACTTCTTTTCCTGCGGCTTTTGCCTGGTTGAAGATTTGCATGTCTGGTGCTGCATATGTGATTGATCTGAAATATATGATGAATATAAGAATATAAGAGTATAAATAGAGGACGATAATTAATGTTATCCTTTGATTAATCTTACATGGCTCCAAAGAGGATGCTCATAACTGCAGCTATAACATCGCCTCCTTGAGCTCTTTTGGCTACAACAACAAGAGCTCCAATCCACACAATTAAAGCCCAAGAACAAAACGTCACCGTCTGGAATACACCAGTTCCAACTCCTTTAATCAACGCTTCTCCCTTACTAATAATCAATTGTCTCTGCATGCATTCTGAGAACGATTTTATTGCAGAACCTTCTCCAACAAAAGCAAACACTGTTCTAATCTGAGAAACTGTCTGCATGGAATCAAAGTCTAGTTTTGAAACACTTTTGGAATAATAAAATTGCTTACTTTTAACTTTAATGAAAAAGACAAAAACTTACCTGTTCTACCATTACTGTAGCTTCTGACAAGTAGGCTGCTTTTGTGGCTGAAATGGAGTTCATTTTCTTGGTATAAGTCGCTCCAATTACAAGAATCATGGGAACAACCAATAAAGTGAGCAACGCGACCTCCCAGCAACATATAAAAGCTATCACAACTCCAGTAAAAAAAGTCGCGAAGCATGAAAGAAAATGGCCCAACTGCATGCATGCATTCATATATACGGGAGTTAATTATTTCATTAAATCATGACCATGGATTGGATTTGGATGATTCTATATACATTTTCATTACCTTCTCGCCAATTGCATCTTGTATGATACTCATGTGATTACTAATCCCAGTGATGATTTTTCCGTTTGTTAACTCTGTGTCAAAAGCTCCAATCTCTTGTTTAAGAACCGCTTTCAGGTATGCGAGTCTCATCCGTGCTACTTGTCTCTCACTTGCATACATCCACCCTCCTACTTCTAGAACTCCTGCGGGAAATGTAGCAAACGCCATGTACCATACAAACGGTATAACCTGAGTGAAAATAGAGATTATAATATATATAGCAACTACTTTTTAGAAAAGTAAAATTTCTATATATGGTTACCTTCTTGAGGGCTTTAACCATATTAGCATCATCATGTATGTTAGTCCCGAATGCATCTATGGCTTTCCCAAGCAGTAAATAACCGAGTGGCTGAGCAAGCCCATGGATGATGGAGCCCAAGGATGCAAGAGCCATTAGAGTGTAATCCAGTGCATCTGCATAGCTTAAAAGCTTGGTGAATGGCAATGGCTGATCGTTCAAGATCTCTTTTTCATCATCTACTACTTCTTGTGTGTTAACTTTCTTCATTATTATGCTTGCAGAAAAGTTTAAGACTGGTAAAATCAACTTGGTTTTGGTTATAGTTTACATGGTTTATATTGATTTAATTACATACCGTAAAGAAGCATCAGAGAATCGTGAGTGCATATTCGATTGGGTTCGTAGAATAAAAAGAAGGTGACAAATGAATCGTTGTTTTGTACGTTCGTCCAGAGATAACGACCAGTTGTCAATTAATGTGTAGATGACTAGGCAAGGTCGAACAATGCTGTTTTATTCATGTGCTGCCGTCCTCTTGAAGGATAAGGATATTCTTCTAGTACTGAAGCTAATTAATATGCCATACTAGCTTGGTCTGCTAATTATATGGCAGATGGCATCAAAGGGTAACTGATTCATAGGTTCCATCTTGCTTTTTAAGGAATTCGTATCGAGTTTTTTGGTTTTGGATACTTTAACCCTTTTGAATACCTGAGTCCTGCTTTCGGCAAATTTAAACATTATGCAAATTAAAAAAATTGCAAGGATTTGTCCCATTACTATTGCAAATTTGCAATTTAACTTTTCCATCCAAAACGAATCTATGGTAGGAAGTTATCAGATTTACTTCGAACTTCGCATTTCATATTAATAGATGTTTACTTCGCAAATCATATTAATAGATATTTTCATTTCATATTAATAGATGTTTTCTTTCATCGAACTTCGCATTTCATATTAATAGATGTTTTCTTTTAATAGCCCAATTTTTATTTATAAGAAGTAGCAAGCTAGCAAACCAATTACATCAAAGTAGCCAAATTGGGATTTTTTTAACCAACAAGTTCAATTGACCTACAATTTGTTGTTCTAAACACAAACCAATTGAAAGAATGCAAAAAATAAAAAAAAAATAAAAAAAAATAAAAAAACTTTTCAAGCATTATATTTTTCAGAAAATATTTATCGGTAAAAAACTTTGATATTATTGGGTGACCAAAGCACCCAAATCGTTGTCGAGATCATCACTTTAACTGTTCTTTTCTTCGTAATCGACAAATTTCTTCTATCTCTATCCATGTTAGTAACTGTAGTACCTTCACAAAATTCAGAAATTAAACATCAAACCACTCACCAACCATATCCCCTAAGGATCTCACCACTATAAAATACAAAAATAAATGAGACATTTGTTCTATATGACCCTCATAAAGCGGGCACAATATAGACTTAAAATCAATTCTTCGATTCGCCAAATTATTCCTAGCGGGGAGTCTGAAACATCCCTCGTATGGTTGGTTTTTAAATGATATATAAAACCAATTATTTAAGTTTTAAATTAGTTGAGTTATTTGTAAGTGTGAAATTAAGGCCATCGAAGTCCAATATTTGAATAGATTGTTCAAATGCAAGGTTGTAATGACCACTCTCCAAAACACGGTTTAAAACTGAAATCACTACATAGACTTGACATTCCAAATATCATTGCTATCATTTATTTCTCTTCTCTATGATCACCTAATATAAGTATATGTCAAAATACAAATGTTAGGCTTGAAAAGCCTGATGAGTATACTCGAGATTGACTCTTTAAGAGTTTTGGATGATGGTGATCATTCAAACCTCCAAAAATAATTTTCAAAACATTTCAACCCTATAATTTATATATTCAAAGTTAACTATGCATTAGACTCATAGATCTAGGTTCAATAATCCAAAAGGATCAATAAAGCTAAATAAGTGGTTAGCAAAGAAGAAATAATCAAAATCCAAGAGTTCAATATTTCAAGAATATTTCAAGAGGGATGGTTCAACAATAACCAATTAAATGATACACATGCATCTAATCAAGTCAATCTCCAAGTCCAAAGACCACATTGATGGTTAAGTTCGAGCTCATACACGGTAGACCATTTGCTCACTACACTTTCCATGTCCATTTCAAACTAGGTAATTTATAATTAAACCATCACATACATACACACACCACACAAGGGATAATTAGCCTTATGCATAGTGATATTTATCTATAAATCTAATCACTTCTAAAAAGTCAAATCCTATATAGATATAATAAATGAATCCAAAGTCTCCCATACTACGTGAATATACAAGTAGATGCTCAAAACGATTTCCATATAAGCATTAGCTTTCCAAATTAAACAAATATTTTCAAAATAGATTTCATGAATGCAACAATTACTTATAATATTCATATTGCAATCAAAGTGTGTCATCCAAAACTTATAAGTGAGCATTGATAAACTAAATGTTAGTGTGGAAAGGAAAATGTAAGGTTGTACAAAAAATGTACAATCAGGGAACTAAAACGTAAGGTTGTACATTTAGATATGATTGTAAGCATTTAGTAAAGAAATATGAAACATCCCTCTCTTGGGTATTATAAATATCTATTTAAGACCATTAAATTTTAAGACTAAATGTTAGTGTGGGAAGGAAGATGTAAGGTTGTACAAAAAGGTACAATATGTGAAGTTGTGAACTAAAATGTAAGGTTGTACATTCAGATATGATTGTAAGCATTTAGTAAAGAAATATGAAACACCCTTCGCTTGGGTATTAAAAATATCTGTCTAAGACCATTAAATTTTAAGAAAAAGTAGTTTTCAGAGTTTTTAATTACGGAAAATATACGGTCCTATGGTTTTAAAACAAGTTTAAAAGTTCAAATAGCGATGATATGACAATATAATATCTTAACATAGTTTAATAAAGAGCACATGATGTGACATTCTCAAAAGTCCATGCTACTTCTAACCTCTCCCCTAAGGCTTCAAACTAAGCACACATTAAAAAAAGTTCCACAATGGAATTTTCTAGTGAGAATACTCGATGTTGATTCATTTAGAGTAAGAAGGTAACAATCTACTTACTCAAATCAAACCTCAAAAACAATGAAAATATCACAAATACATTGAGGTTTTAAAAGACCGAAAACCAAACTGAAAGTGCATTATATAAGCCGTAATTGCAAACATGTCTCAAAGGCAAAATATTGGTTATCAAAGATTTATAGAATCATATCAAAACTCCTAAAAGGGTAAATGTAACAACCCGTACTTTTCACAAACATTTAATATTTAAAATACTTGGAATGATATCTGAGTTTACATAAATGATACCAAAAACCAGAGTTTCAAAAGCTTTAAAAGTATTCCCAGCAAAATATTCATGGGTGGTACCAATTTCATATCATAACCATAACTAAGAAAACAAAGATAAATGCGGAAACAAAAGTGTAGTCCATAGTCCTTGATGCTTCTAAGTCCTCGCTCTTTAACGCTTGCTATCAGAACCTGCTAAACACATGGAAACAATATTTGTCAGACTATAAGTCCCGTGAGTTATATATAACCATAAACAACGTATTCATACATAACATAATTTGGCTTGTCACATAAGTGAACAAGCATCTACACATATACCGAGAGGTGAACCACCGGTCATCATCATCATCTTGGTTTCTATGCATAATCTAACGTTCTCTCCTAGGGATCCCTTACTCTACTCTTTTCATGCATAAAACACATATCATACAACAAAACACAAGTTGTGTAACATATCAAAATCTAACAATGATGCAATCGCTAATTACATCCATACATTTACATGCTTACACATATTCTCTAACACACAAATGTAACATCCTATTTTGGGGCACGAAGTTTTGAGCGTTTTGGTAAAAATAAAAGTTTCTTTAATTTAAAATAAAATAAATTGAAATGAAATAAATAATAAATGGAAGTAAATTATTTTGAGTAATAACCATAATAAACATATTTTCTAAGTCATAAATAGATTATGATAGAGTTTGGGTGTCAAAAGAAAAATTTTAAGGTGAAGGGATAAAAGTGTCTATTTGAAGAAACTTGTTTTCGACTCGATCATTTGACGAAATAAGCATCTCGGACTAGATTTGCATGAGTCGTGGTGGAGAAGGACCAATTGTAGACTAAAAATAATTTTTATTAAGTTTTTAGCTAAGTTAGGGACCAAGCATGAAAGAAATTCAAATAAGGGACCAAAAATGTCAATTTGACAATTCTTGAAGGGTACCCTACGTCCAATGGATGGCGCATCGCGTCCGCCGACGCTGATCAGAAATAAACAACACTTTTTGCTGTTTTTCTTCCCATTTTCACTCCTTTTTCTTCTCTTCTCGGTTCTAGCCCTCTCCCACCATCTTGGGTCGATTTTCCCCACTTAATCCATGGTGTTTTGATGATTGGAATGTTTATATGATTCCTTGCTCAAATCCTTTCTATAATCTTGCATCTAAGGTAGAATCCTTTCATTTTTCCCCATCTTTGTCTTAGGGTTTATGTGGTATTTGCAAATTTGAAATTTATAATTCATTTGTGTTGTTTATATGAGATTAATGATGTAGTTGATTTCCTTAATCCATATCCAAGCTCCAAACAACAAATGTTTGTGAGATTTGTACGTTTGGAGTTTTTTTAATGAGTTTTCTTAACCATCAATGGTGAAATCCGAGTTTATGCTTAAATTGGGTGATTATTGTGAAATTGTTGATGTAGTTTAACTCCTTGATCCATCTATAAACTCCAACTAACAAATAGTTTGGACATTTGTGAGTGTGGATGTGATTTGGTGGGTTTCTAAAACTATGGTTGTCCACTATTTGGATAAAACGAATTGTCCAATCGGACTATTTGGTTTGAATTTTTGGATTTTTGGATTAATTTTCAACAAAACCGAATTACTATATTTGATTCTAGATTGGTTTCAGTTTATAGAATAAAAACTGAATAGTCCAAAAAACCGAATAACAATTTATTATTTATTTAGTTATATATATTTTTTTGTTTTTTAATATAAATCTTTTACTTATTTATTAATCTACTAAATTGTATTTTAAATAGATTAGATAGTGTTACCGAATAAAAACCTTAATATCTACTTTTCAAAAGGCTTTTATCTATAAAATATTAAATTATAGTATATTTTTTTTTCTTAGTTGTTCATTAATTTAAATTAACAACTAAACAATTTATTTTTGTTTAGAG